TCTTTCCCCTGAAACTCAGTGTTGCCAACTGCTCATGTATTTGTCAGAGAATGTAAATTTAGTTTACAAAGGTGAGTTGTTTTTAGCTCCTCTTGTAATAGCATATTTTTTTCTTTTGAAATGTAAATTAAAAAAAAATTTTTTTGTATATTGTGTTCAGTCACACCTGATGTAGATCAAAATTACCTTGTGTAACTTTTGATGATTTACCATCTCTAAATGATGCTATTATAGTGAAGTTTTTTAAACAGCACCTTGCCTGAAACGTAATAAAGAAAATTAGCATTTAATATATTTGAAAATCAATTCTATATTTGAACACCTATTTTTGGTTACATTTAATTGCAATATTAGCGGCTTATATTTGTTAGCTGACCTCCTGTTTGACCATTCCAGTCTGTGTATATTGTTCTGATTTTTGCTTTCATCATGTAGGCATTGTTTGCCTTTCATGATGTCTGCATGTCTTGTGCACAGGTCTTTTTATATGATTTGATTTCTATGTGCAATAACTTTAATTCAAAGGACTAGATGCACTAATGTGTAAACATACGGATTACACAAAATGTCACAATTGCACTTCATAATCAAACTGTGGGTAACTACAATCGGCTTGCTTTGTTTTATGAAATAAATTTATCCCATGTCAGACGATATATGTAGCTTCTAAGTTTTATTTCTGAACTTGCTTGGCCAATGATTATTTTTTTTTTTCCTGTGTGCCCTCCCCCTCCCCCTTGTAGTTTGGAAACTCTCTGAAGGACACATTTATACCCTACCCCTTTCCTGGAGTTCACTTATTCAGCTTGTGCAATAAGACTCTGAACAGTGGGTTAAGAGATGCACCATTTAGCTTTGAAAATGAAAGCTTGTTTGCTGCTGTAGTGGATGTTTACAACTTAAATATATTAAAAATTCTGGTATCAGGAGTATGATTTGTAGCAGTGGTGCTCAACCTTCTGCCCTGTGGGCTGGATGAGTGGCCTGAGGTCCATCCATAGGCTGCATCCAGTACAGCATCAGCATACTGGGCTGGACCAAGGAAACACCATGTATCCATCGGGGTCTGTGAAGGCAGTTTTCCTTAAGTGTTCCTGGGGATAACTGTTCTTCTGGTGATTTAGTACCCACCAAGGTGTTGGGGCTTAATGCCCACTTTATGGAAATGGGAGGCTCCTCCCTAGCTTGCTTCTGCAGCCATATGGCTGAGAGCAGGCAAAAATTGGGGGCATCCAAACCTCAAGCCTCCAGGCTTGGGCCTACATGTAGGATGCCTGCCAAAAGGCTTTGGAAATATCTGAAGCCCCTAGTGGGGGGTAGAGGATGTTTGCTGGTTGTGGACTGACTCATGGATTTGGCTGTTTTGACTTGGAACATGAAAAATGTCTTTAAAAAAAGAAGTGTGACTGCTTGCCATATCTGCCCTGTAGCTGATTCATGGGTGTGACCCTGTGTGCTGCTGTGATCTGGTGCTTGGAGCTGTATCACCTAGCTCATAGGGCTCCACACAGGGATGGCAACTTTGGTAGTGGGCAGTGGTAATGGCAATTGCTTCTAAAGCTGTAGCAGCAAAATGCTGCCTCTCCTGCCCTCCCCTCATGTCACATTTCTGGGTCTGTGGGGGTGGTCCCTGCAAGCTGGTTTCAACTCACAGGCTGGAAATTGAGCACTCCTGATTTTAAAGAGTTAAAACTTCCATATAGCTAAAGGGGCACTGCTTATATTTGAAATAAACTTGGGGGTGGAAATTATCAAAAAAATTGTTAAATAAGAGTTTGCTGTATAGCAGGGTAAGCAACCTTTCCTGGTTCTGAGCTGGCATGACCTATCCACCCACCTTAGACTAGGGGTAAGTGTTTGTCCCTGCACAGATGCAGGGAGTGGGCTGTGTCCATACATGTGGGCTAGATTCAGCCTGCAGGTTCCTGACCCCTTTAGCTCAAATGTGGCAGCATGTCCTAGAGCAACATAATTTAGGGCTACAGTCAATGAAAGACTTCAGCCCCTGTAAACAATTCCCTGCTTACCCTTGTCTGTGGGACCTTACCTAGACATTTTCTGGGTCTGGGGGGAGTCCCTGCAACCTGGGCACTTTCTGGGGTGGATTGCTAGAAAATGTCCAAATATTCTTGGAGTAAAAGAGGTGAGCATCCTAGCCTGCTGTGTTTAGCAGAGACAAGCTCCAATACTGGTATTGCTTGTTTGCTAGATATTCAGCATGCTGGCTCCTGCCTCTCCAGGAGTCATCCTCCCCAGCCACGGTATACCAAACATATTCCTTGGAGCAGTGTATGTACATCTGCATAACAGTGAAGGGAGGACCCAACTGCAGCCAGACAGAAGACATTTTGGTCTGCCTTGAGGTTTTAAATCCTTTCTAAACTTTGTCCTGAGCTGCAAACCCTAGCCCCACAACCTTCCCTCAGAGGTTCTTGCCAAAATTAGCAGTGGGATTATTCCAGGGCTCCTGTTGAAGGAGATTTGTTGGCCAGACCCTCCCTCTACCTGTGGCATGGGGAGGAGGTCATACAACTTACTGCCTGGGGACAAGGCTGCTGGTGCGGGTGGGTATCTCTCTGCTGGCCTGGTGTAAGTTCAGCTTCCCTTCTGAGCAAAGGGGGGCCAGCCTCCTCCCCACTCCCATTGTACGCTTCCCAAGGTAGAGCCTTGCAGCTCAGCTTGATGAGAGCCACTGCTTCAGTAAGTAACCAGACAACTGGCCTTTAAGGTACCTGCCCTTACCCACATGCTTGCCCCTCCAGGCACTGGCAGGACCCATCCTGCCACAAAGCTGTTCCTTCCTGGGCTCCAGCGCAGAGCAGCTAAGCCCCACTCTGTCGGGAGGGGTGCAGGTAAGTAGTTTCCCCCCCAGCACAAAGCCTTTCCCCTGCTGGGCGAGCCCCCGCCCCGAGCTCCCCTTGTCGCTTGCATTTAAAAGCGCCGCCGGGATGAGCCGAGCGGCCCCAGTTATGGGCAAGCGGGTCCTGTCGCACCGCGGCTTGGCCGGGCGGCCACGTGGCT